ATGCCTTGTCCCGGCCCTCACCTCAGGAGACAAGCCATGATTTATAGTCCCTCCTAAATAAGAACTTGGGAGGTTGGTTATGCTCAAAGAATTTAAATTTTGGTGTGGAACACACACATGTAATGATCTGGATTGTAAATATTGTTATTATTAATTTCTGTTTGCACTTCTGTAGCACTCCCACGTGCAGCTGAGGAGCTCCTGTGCACATTGGGACAGAGGAAGGAGCCCTTGAGCTGCTGACAGCCTGCCCAGAACAGAGGACCCTGACCTGAGAGGGGCCAGGGGTGTTGATGGCAACAGCACCCAGAACACACCAGCGGCGTGGCTTTGCTAATCTGGGCTGCTTCCTGCCAAAAAGCAACAGCTACAAAAGCACTGTGTTCATCATCACCACAGTGAAAATCTTCCTTTTAACTGCTCAGGCTGAGATGTCCTTGGGGGGGATGCAGAGCTGCTGGGCCATGCTCTGCTCAGACGCTGCAGGGACAGACCTGCAGCTGCTGCACTCGGCTTCAGCGTGTGTTCCCTTCAGATGATGGTGTCTTTGGGCTCTGCTATCATTCTGGAAATTTTAATGTCATGTTTCCTTCCAGTAAAACTCAGCTGGAGTGCAAGAACTCACTTCTGTTTCTCTCTTAGGAAAGGAAGGCTGCGGTGTCTGCACATCACCTAAGGGGAAGGATCTGAGGAAAAAGAGCTCAGACCCTTCAGAAATCTTTCAAAGAGAAGACCCAGCTCTCCTTTATCTCTTTTAAAATTAACACATCATACTTTGCACATGTTGAGCAACAAAGTTCCTGATATAGCTTCCAAAAACCCCCAGGCCCAGTGGGGTAGTGCCATTATTTTATAAAGAGGGTGAGAGCAGGACACTCACTCCCCTGGCCAGTGACAGCCAGCACCTCAGGGACACCCTGAATTAGAGGTTTCCACAGAGATTATGGGGTCTAACAACCACCAAAGCATGTGTCACCCGTGAATTTGTATAATTCTTCCTTAAACACAGTTACACTTTTGGCTCTGTGATGCCTCGTCCACCAGTTGCTGTTGTTTAATCAACAGCTACTACAAACATCCTACCTCACCCTTTCATTTACAGGAACCTTTGCTCTTGTAAGAATGAAGGCAACTCACAGATCTGAGCAGGACAGATTCTGATGTTTCAGTATGCAAAGACAACAGGGTAACACAGAGGCTGGTGAAATCCCAGGGGGGATTTTCAGAACTGCTACTCTCACTGCAAGCCAGCACCAGCAGTCTTGAAAAATCACATCTTTATTTGTTATTTATTATATGTTTCCTATGAATAAATTTCTGTCTCAAATTACGTTTATAATAAAACACTAAAAATTCTGCTTTTGGAAAAAAAAAAATCCAGATATGTTCTTCCTTCCTGAAGATTCACTGCTTGTTCTGCAACAGGAGATGTGAATTATAGAAGTATTAATAACAGCAGTATCAGGAAATGATCATTCAGGCACCAGAAATCCATATGAGACATTATGGCTTTAAATAAATTGTTCATTGCTATGTTAATCTAATCTTGTAAATACGTGCACACTTAACTATATTGAAAATGTAAATGCTCCCAGACCTGGACTTCACATGATGAATAAACAGCTCTCCTTTTTTGCCTTGTCAGCTCTGTTGGTCTCAGAAAAACAAGATTTGATGGTCATTGAAAAAGTTGATGCCTGCACAGATTTAGCCAAAAGATTGTCACAATTACCTCAGAATCCATGTGGCTCACAGGACTGAACTTGAAGAAACCTCTTTTAACATCTGCTCATGACAGAGCAATTCCAGCTCCAGGAGTGCCTCCAGCCAGTGACTTCCCTTCCGTGGCCCTGAATTTGCATTCATTAAACCCAGAGTTTTAATGATTTATGGAGATTTATAAAAAATGGCAGTGCAGAGCTGCTGACACTCCCAAAGCTTCTGACAGGAGTATAACACATCATAAATCCATCCTGGTGTGAAATATTGAATGAAAACTGGTGCAGGCATATCTGCAAGTGTTAACATGACCCATAAAATCAGGGATTCAGACTAACTAAAATCATCAGCATGCCCCAAACCCAAGGAGATAACAGAGATAATAACAACAGTATAATAATTACAATGTTAGTAATAACACTACTAATAGAGTTACCAGTCTCCTTGTTGTTGTTTATTATTGTCACTGCCCTGATAATTCTCAGCTCCAAGGATGGAGAGAGGCAGATAGGCCCCATGCTTTGAGAAACAACCTCTGTGCTTTGGGAAACAAATTCCAGCTTCCCCTATCCCTCAGAAGAGCTACCAAGATCTTTGGGATAAGCCTTTGGGAAGGCTCTGGAGGAGCTTTTTGCCACTCACACAGCAAGGTGTGCATTGGCTCCTGCTGAGCCCCAGGGTTTGGGAAACTGCAGTTTAAACAAACATGCCCCTGGGACAGACTCTTTTTTTATTTACTAGTGAATCAACAGAGATGGCAAGGCTGATTTGCAGTGCCTGACTAGCATCTCTTGAAGATTTTAGTACTAGACCTCTGTCCTGCCTTGCCACACCTTCCCCCTTGGTTACCTTATCACAGTTGTTATTAGCTCATGCAAATCCACAGCACAAGTTCCTTATCTTTACATCTTCCTCACACAAGAGCTAACCTACTTCAAGATGCTGAACAAAAAAAAAAAAAATTGCTAAAAACTAAGTAAAAATATTACTTTGCACCTCTGAGGACAACTTCAGCCAAGGCAGAATAGACCAAAATACATGTGGAGAAGTGAACTGAGCTGAGCTGAGCTGAGCTGAGCTGAGCTGAGGAGCAGGATGCATCCCCCTGCAGCCAGAGCCAATGATTCACTCAGCTCTGCACCCTGGAACAGGAAATGTGGGGCCATTCCCCAGCTCGAATGGCCAGGATGCACTGCTTCACCGTTGCACTTTTTGTCCTTTGACCCTGTTTATTTAGAATAAAAATGGTTTGAAACAGGGCCTTATTCATTAGTGATGCACAGCACCAGCTAGAACAATACCCCAGCTTTGTTGTGCAGGAAATATTTGTATATAATAAAGCAATATCAGTTTGTCTACATGGAGCAAAGGTTTCCTAGTTTTCCTGGCCACAGCCTGTTGTAACAACTGGCTCTCCCAGACTTAATTTTACTTTAAAGGCAGATTCAGCAGCTCCCAATTCAACCAAACCCCACAAGGACCTCATCTACCTCCAGCTCCAAGGTAAGCAAGAACAGCACAAAGAGGCAGCATCTTCCAGCTCCATCTTGGAGCCACAGAGGATGAGGAGGAGGCAGTGATATGAACAGCACATCATAACAGAGTAAGATGGGCTTTGATGAGCTGCTGGGTCTGCTTCTGCCTCAGCCTCTGCCCCAGCTCTTGGCTCCTTGCTGTCCTTGGGCACTGCTGCTCCTGCACTGCACACAGGGGATGGCAGGGCTGGGCATGGCAGCTGGATGGCAGATACCTGCCCACGGCTTTGCCCTCCTCTCTGCCTCATTCAGTGTTAGCTGGGCTTTTCCATTACCCATGTTCTCCTGTGCACTCCGGGAAATGGAGTGCTGATTGCACTTCAGGAGCTAAGCAAGCAGGGCCTGAATTATTTATCTGTGAGCCTGCAGAACCAAGCCAAATCCCCAAGTGATGTGGAACAGCTCTTGGAAGAAATGCAAAAAGGGATGAAAAGGCTGCATGGGTGGGCATGTGGAGCTGCATGGTCAGAGCCTCACACGTGCACGTCACATCTGCTGGGACTCTTCCTGCCCAGGTGGTTTATGTACTGGAGGGTGTGGAGTGCTCAGGCGTGAGTTCTGATCAAGAGACTCTTCTGTGAAAATGCTCAAGAGCCACCTCTGTGCCTCAAACCAACCACGGTGATGACGAGTCCCCAAAAAGCAAAGAAAAGCTCCCAAACACAAATGCTAATGCAAATACAGGGGGTTTGGGGTGTCCTACAGCTTTCCTGTTCAGCTCCCTCAATTCCAGAGGAGCTGTGAGTCCTCTGCAATCATTAGCTCAGTCGTATCCAGCCTACCAGGAGGTTATTGTGCCACGCAGATAGTGCCACGATAGCCGTGTTTGTGTCCCGGCTTCAGTAATGCCCCTGCACCTGCTCCTCCACTTCCCCTTCCACACCAGCTCAGCTCCAGCAACAGCTGGAGCAAAGAGCAAACTCCTGTCGTTGCTCTCTGCCACCACAGATGCAGATGCAGCTCCTCCAGCACGGTTTTCCCTTCGGTTCGGGGCAGGGATGCATCCCAGAATTTCTCCAAGAGCCTGCCAGGGGTGCAGGGAGGCTGGGATAGCCCCGGGCGAGGGTGGGCAGCCTGAGCCTGGGGGCTGCGAGGCTGCAGGTGCGCGGGGGGCCGGGAATAGGCAGGGCTTGATGCGATGCCGAATCCCTGCTCTCTCCTCACCCCCTTCTTGTCGCTCCCCCATCCCTCTCCTCCTTCTCTTGCCCCAGACACAGAACCCTCTCCTCGCCCTTCCTCCTCTGCTGCCATCCCCATCCCTCTGCCCGCATCCCTCCCGTCCCTCCCTTCGCCCGCATCCTCTGCCTTTCCCCGCTTTCACTTCGGCCTCAGTTTCCCCGCGATTGGCCCGGCGGGCGGCGGCGGCCCCGACGATTGGAGGAGGTGTCCGTCCGTCAGGGGCCGCCCGCCCGGCCCCGGCCCCGGCCCCGGCCCCGCACCGGCCCCGGCCCCGCGCCGAGCCCGGAGCGCAGGCGGCGGAGCGCGGGCGGCGGCGGCGGCGGCAGGTACCGGGCACCGGGCACCGCAGCGGGCATCGAGCGGCTGCGGGGAGGGATGCGGCACCGGGGGATGCCCGGAAGAGCCTCGGCAAGCTCAGCAGGACCGGCCGGGCGGTGCCCGCGCGGCTGCGGGGGAGCCCCGGGGGCGCGGGGATGGGCGCGGGGGATGCGGGGCTCCCGGGGGGATCGCCCGGGGCTCAGCCCCGCGCTGGGGGCTTCTGGTGGCCACGGCGAGGGGTCCGTGGTGGGAACAGCCCGGTGGATGTCACCGAAATAGCACCAGTGATTGAGGTTTTCGGCTTTGCGATGGTCTGCGAGGATGCTGCGAGGTTGGGTTGCCGCCTGGAACTGTGTTCGGACTGAATCGCTGCGGTTTGGGGTTTTCTTTGTAGCGTGACGTGTCTTGCTATAGAAAATTTAAAAGATGCTGATTTCCTTTAAAAGTAAGGAAGGGTAGTAAAGTGGCATGGCAGGATGCTTATAACAGGAAAAAAAAGAAGTTACGTTAATGATAAATTAATCCGTTTCACAGGAGCAGAACTGAAGTTAGTAGTGGGCAGGATGCTGGGTGGAATCGGAGCACTTCAGTAACTTGCCCTATATTACTTTTATAACCCATTTGTTCAGATGATACAAATCAAAAGCTGCTGTAATAAAACCATGTTTTTCAGCTCTGAGAGCCTAAAAAGCACAAATGGACCTTAATCACATGAGTTTGTTGCATTAACATTTTATTACCGTTTTATAGGCTGCTTGATTTTACCAGGCAACACACTGCAAACCTGAAGTTATCCCTGCCTGGCACCTCTTTATACATATATTTATATATATTTCTGGGCTTCTACTTCCTGTAGTGCCACTTGGTTGTAAAAACACACATTAAAATATCATTTGAGGCAGAAATGAACACAAAGGAGATCTTCAGAAAAGTGTATCAGAGTTCTTGTAAACGTGAGAAAGGATGAAGCTCTGGGGGGAGCGGGTTAGTCAAATAATGAAAAGGAAAAAAAAATGTAGCTATTTATATGCAAAGAGGTCTGATTTGCAAACTGCCTGAAGTGGTCGGAAACTGAAGCACTCTCGGTGCACGGGGCGGGCTGGGGGGACAGATCAGAGCCACCTGCCCTGCCAGGACTCCATCGGAGCCCTGCGGTGAGTGATGAGCGTGCTCAGGTGTCACAAGTGCCACCTGAAACCCTGGGAAGTGGCAACTCCACTGATGTTCCCTGAAGTTCTCCTGCCCATGGGGCAAAGCTGCTCGGTGACAGTGGCAGAAACACGAAGTGTGACCCTGGGATGAGAGATGAGACTGGGAAGCAGTGACTCCTGCCATATTGGGTTGGATATTCTTGGCCGGTGAAACCAGGAACTACCTGAGCAAGCACTCGCTGGAAGCCTTTACAGAGATTAGAGATTTGCAGGCAAGGGGGAAGATGGGATCAGCCACTAACAAAAGAAATACCCACCGGCTTAGGGAGATCAGCATCCAGCTGCTCGGTGCCTCATGACTGCAAACTCCTCCAGGCAATTTTAATCTTTTTTCCTGCGTGTGTCTTTGCAGCATGGAACGTGTTGGGGAGGATCCTGCCCTCTCCTATGTTGGGCTTTACACCCTGCAGTAGCAGGCAATCATGGCTCTGTTTTATGCTGCTCATTTTGCTCAGTCCACCCCAAAAAGCATCACTGAGCACTTATTTTTCTTTTCTTTATTTTAATTGGGTGTGCCAAGCCCAGAATCCTGACTTTGCATGGATGAAGGTGCTCATATGCAGGATGCCATACATTCTGCTTTACCACTTGGTTTTTTTGTCTTCCTCGTGTGTTCCTTGAGGTGTTGCCTGGAAGTTGATTATTCAGAGCCTGGGACATTTGTATCTTGCATAATCACAGTGAATGGTGGAAAAGTTTTGCAAGACTGCACCCACACGACAGAGTTGGCAGCTTTTTGCTGGTGGGTTAGTGAGATGCTGGGTATGATTCCAGTGGAAAGGTTCCCCTTTGGATTTTGTGCTTAATGAATTGATGTCACTGTGTTAAGGCAACATGTAAGAGTTATCAACCACGCACAGGCTGTTACAGGTGAAATGAACTGCATTGGCCTGGGTTTCTCTGGCACCCTTCAAGGGTGCTGTGCTTCCCCAGCACAGTTAAAAACTGCATTGTTTTGGCCTGGTGAGGGGCTTATCCTTGTGCAGAGAAGCAGAATTTGGGAACTGGAGCAGCCCAGAGCACGCCCCAGGCAGGATCAGGGGCTTTGTCTGCAGGGTTGGTGGCAGCGTGGCTGTCCCTGCACCTATGCCCAGCTATTCCAGCCCTCTCGGTCTGTGAGATTTCTTCTTCTGAAGCCACTCTCTTTTCCCTTTTCAAAACTGATTAATTCCTAGACCTCCCCACCACAGAATTAGTTTTGTTCCATCTTGGCCCTGAGTGACCTGGTGGCGTGCGAGCGCGGACGCTGAACGGCGGGATTGGAGAACAAAGAGTTCCTGCACGCACGTTCCGGGGAAAATGCTCCCAGAGAGGTCAGAGACTTCATCTGCTTCTTGAATCCCAGACAAAAGCATCCATCCTACTTCAGTAGATGGGATAAGTGGTTGTAGACAAGTGCTCAGAGAGGGCCACTAACTTCAGTGGATTTTATGTCAGAGCTCTCTCTAGTACAGAGGAGAGCATGTGATGAGGCAGTGAAGTGTTTATTATTATCAGAGCGGTGTTGTTCTAACCTTAAATCTCTCTTCAGGCAGAAGTACCCCTGAACCTGTTCTGCAATGTTGCTGCTGCCAAAAAGAGTGTCATTCCACCTCTCGACTGTAATTGAGCTTGAGCAGTGGACATATGTTAGCACTGGGAAATATTCTGTTTATTCTGGTTCAGCTCATTCAGCAAAGTTCTGAGCCTTTCCGGCAGCTCTTGAAATTCATAGAGCAATGAAGTCCCCTTTATTCACTTGTGCTACTCTGCTGACATATGTAGAGTTACAATAAAACTGAATTTAACTGCTATTGTTAATGGCATATTGCTGTATGGCATCAATAATCTTCAGTCACTGGAACTCCCAGAGCTTGGCTTGGTTGCTTCAAGAAAAAAATGAAATGCTAACAAACTTTGTTTAAGTGTAGCTGATGGTTTCAAGGAGTTAGGGAGTCATTTTCATGTTGAGAAAGCAAGATTAAACACTTTTTTCCCTAAAAATTATTTTGATTTTGTAATCTGGCTGAAAAAAAAAAATCCAAGAAAAAGTATTCCCCCTTGGCCCTGAGTTCCTGCCCTTCACCTCATAGTTGCTCTAATTTCTGGTTGTGGGATTTTGAGTCAGAGATTGAAGAGAAGTCATCCCTTTGAAAGTGTTCGTAATTTCCTTTTGATGACACAAATAGGGATCTGCCCTCTTCAGAGAAATCCCCCAGTATACCACAGTCTGTCAAAATCTAGGGTATTGCATGAGGAAATGCAAATTATCTGCAAGCTGATATTCTGTTTATCTAAAATAAAATGAAATTAAATGAAGTGTGATTCCTGTTTAGGTCATCTTTAGGGGGTGGATGGGGAGTACTTGGTATCAGGAAACTTAGAGGCTGCAGATGCCATGTCAGAAGTCTTACAGCCATGTGAGTCTTTGCCAGTGCTGGACCAGATTCCTTGTGCCACATCAGATTTGTGTTGAATGGGTTAATTTTGCACCATCTGGCTTTGTGCTAGATCAAATATTGTTTCTGTTGTGGTAGCCAACATGAGGCCAGAATAAGCTGGGAGTAATATCCTCGGCTAATCCAACAGAAATATGATTATGTACCTGTTCCTTCTCCAGATCATATCTGCAATAATGGGTGATTTAGCAACACAAAATAATCCTTGTGGAGACAGGGGAGAGGACTGAGGGTGGGGCATTTCTGCTGGGAATAGTCTCTGACAGCTGGGGTTGTTCAGCCTAGAGAAGCTATGGCTCTGGGGAGATTTTAAAGCCCCTTCCAGAGCCTAAGGGAAGCTGGAGAAGGAATTTTTACAGGAGCATGGAGTGATTGGACAAGTGGGAATGGCTTCAAACTGAAAGAAAGTAGTTTTAGGTTAGCTATTAGGAAGGAATTCTTCCCTGTGAGGGTGGTGAGATCCTGGCACAGGTTGCCCAGAGAAGCTGTGGCTGGCCCATCCCTGGAAGTGTCCAGAGCCAGGTTGGATGGGGTTTGGAGCAGCCTGGGATAGTGGAAGGTGTCCGTGCCCATGGCAGGAACTGGATGGTCTCTGAGCTCCCTTCCAACCCAACCCATTCTGAAATTCTGCGACTTGAGGGCCGTGGGTAACCTCAACGTGATGATCTCCTTGCAGTTGGCAACAGAGACACAATAGGAATGTCTAACTCAGATTAGGTACTTAGCTTTAAGCAAGTAATTATGAGACAAAAATTGCACTCCTAGTGCAGAATGGCTTCCTAGGGAGTCACCTGAGACTCAGAAATGGAGGTGATTTAACTTTGCATTTTGCACGCCGCAGTGACCTCCAAGTCGCTAATCTGAGGTTAACCAAAGCAGAACAGCTGGAGTTCTACTGCATTTTGAAGTATTGCACATTTCAAGCAGTGAGTTCATTTAAGTGCTGTCTGGGAGGCTCTGCTGTTCCCCTGCTTGGCAGGAATCTCAAGACTAATACCTAAGAGGATTAGGGAGCATCATTGGATGTTAAACAAGATCCAGGCTAAGTGGTGTGCACCGGTGAGCTCGTGCTCCCAGGGCTGTTTGGGGAAGCTGTAACTTGCTGATCTAGAAAAAACAAAGGGGTTTGTGGGGAAATACCCTTCCCTCAGCTGAATCCTTGGTGTGTGTGTCTCTCCTGTTCCCACCTGGCTCCGAGTTTCCACCTGCCCATCTCATGGTGTCCTGTGCTCACTGCAGTGGTGGGTGTTGCAGGAGTTGCTGATGAACAGCAAGTTTCTTTTTCTGTGATGATTTTAGCTCTTCTATTGTGCTCCACTGAGCTTTGTGTTGTCTGGTTGGACTTGAATGAGTGGGCAT